AGAAGTCGTACTATGGCTCAAGTGGCAGAGCACTTGCCTTGAGCTGAAGAGTTGAGGAACAGCATGCAGGCCCAGAGTTCAAGCCCCAGGACTGGCAAAAAAAAAAAAAAGAATTGTGGGGCACCAGTGGCTCATGCCTGTAATCCTATCTACTCAGGAGACTGAGATCTGAAGATCAAGGTTCAAAGCCAGCCAAGGCAGGGAAGTCTGTGAAACTCTTATCTCTAATGTTCTAGTCAAAAAAAAAAAAGCCAGAAGTGGCACTGTAGCTCAAATGGTAGAGCACTAGCCTTGAGCGAAAAAATCTCAGGGACAACGCCCAGGCCCTGAGTTCAAGCCCCATAACTGACCCCCTCGACTCCCAAAGAACCCCAAAAAACAAATTAAACCACAATAAGACACTACTTCATACTCTCCAGAATGAGGATAATAATAATTTTTAGTAAGTGACAAGTATTGAGGAACATATGGAAAAAATGGAACTCTCATGTCCTTAGTGGGAATAAAAAAAATAGTACCGGGCTAGGAAGCTGGCCCAGTGGTAGAGTGCTTACCTTGCATGTATGAGGCCCTGGGTGCAATTCTTAAGCACCACATAAGCAGAAAAAGCCAGAAGTGACACTGTGGCTCAAGTGGTAGAACGCTAGCCTTGAGCTGAAGAGCTGAGGGATAGTGCCCAGGCCCATAGTTCAGGCCCCACAACCAACAACAACAACAACAACAAAATAGTACAGCCACAATGGAGAAGAATGTAACAGCAATTTCACTCTTAATTATTTACTCAAAGGAAATGAATCTAAGTATCTACATTAAGTCTTATATATTAAAATGGCCTCAAACAGGAACAAGTCAAATGGCTATCAATTGGTAAATGGATAAATAAAAGTTAGTATGAGGCCGGGCGCCAGTGGCTCATGCCTGTAATCCTAGCTTCTCAGGAGGCTGAGATCTGAGGATCACGGTTCAAAGCCAGCCGGAGCAAGGAAAGTCCATGAGACTCTTATCTCCAATAAACCACTAGAAAATCGGAAGTGGCGCTGTGGCTCAAGCGGTAGAGTGCTTGCCTTGAGCTGAAGAGCTGAGGGATAGCGCCCAAGCCCAGAGTTCAAGCCCCATGACCGACAAAAAAAAAAAAGTTGGTATAATGGAATATTATTCATCCATACAAAGGATTGAAATACTGATACTTGCTACAACATGGATAAGCCTCAAAAATGCTATATTAAGAAAAGAAGCCAGATCAAAAGGGTCACACATATCATTGGATCCCATTAATACAGATTATCCAGAAAAAGCATATTTATAGAGATGATAAACACAATAGTGGTTACTTGGCTCTAGAGATGGGAGCGGAGAACTGATCTCACGTTGTGGGCACTGGGCTCTTTTTCAGGTAATGAAAATAAACCACAGTGGGATTGTGGTGATATTGGCATGACTATTGCAAATGTACTAACAATTATTGCATTAGATACTTAAAACGGATGAATTTTATATTTACACTATACAAAAATAAGGTAGTTATTTATTTATTTATTTATTTTTAATTTAATTTTATTTGTGAACATACTGTACAGAGGGGTTACAATTACATGGGCAGGATAATGCGTACATTTCTTACCAAGCATTGCAGCCTCCTCCTTTGGTTTACCCTTCACATCCCTTCCCAGCCTCCCCCCTCCCTCCCAATCCCAATCCCTCTCCTTACCCCCCCCCCCCACCGACGTTGTAAAGCTCGTTTTGGACATGACAACTTGTACTTCTCATTGTTGCAACAGGTCCACCTGTATCCTTAAACAACTGGTTTTTCCCCATCTCCTCCACAAGTTATACTGACATCAAATATAGTGAAAGCAGGGGTTATACTGTGGGGGAGGGACATACAAAGCAACAAAGAGATAATCTTATAAATGCGTTAGAAACACATGCATGAAAGAAAAAAACATTAAAATACACATCTAAGGGTTCATTTTCCTGACATCACATTATCTGACCTTTTCCGCTTGACTCAGACATATACTAGATATTGCAAATAAGGGAAACCATGGGACCTATGCTTCTTTGGGCCTGGCTTGCTTCACTTAATATAATTTTTTCCAAGTTTTTCCATTTCCTAACAAATGGGGCAATGTCATTCTTTCTGATGGAGGCATAGAATTCCATTGTGTATATATACCACATTTTCTTGATCCATTCATCTACTGAGGGGCATCTGGGTTGGTTCCATATCTTAGCTATGGTAAATAATGCTGCAATAAACATTGTTGTGCTGGTAGCTTTAGTGTGGTCTTGTTTGTAAACATTTAAAAATAAGGTAGTTTTTAAAGGCTCTCCATTTCAGCTGCTTTTATCTATTACACTAATTTCTGATACTTTAAAAATGCAAAACTTTTTTCTAGTATTTCTGTGCTACACCAATTTTTAAGTTTGTGACCACTCATTCCCCTAAGTTTGATCCTTTTGGGAGCTTGAACACTGGGTCTGGGCTCTGTCCCTGAGCTTCTTTTGCTCAAAGGCAGTGCTCTAGCATTTGAACCATGGCGCCACTTGCAACTTTTTCTGAGTAGTTTATTGGAGATAAATGTTTCATGGACTTTCTTGCCCCAGCTAGCTTCAAATCATGATCCTCAGATATCAGCCTCCTGAGGAGCTAGGATTACAAGTGTGAGCCACTGGTGCCTGGCTCCATTTTCTTTAATCTATATGATCAAGATGACATTTTTGATAATGAGTTTCTTTCATTCCTCAATAACCCAGTGGGTTGATGCAATCAGGGAAAATAAATGACCTAATGACTCAGACTTTATACTACTTCACAAAGCTGTAATGAATCTAAATCCCCTAAGTCTGCAGAAGAAATAAAAATACCACCTGCCAAATAAAAAGATTTATACATTCTCTGGGTATGTACAGTATAAATCACTGTGTAATTCTGGCATAATACCCATTTCTGCATCCTGTGTTTTTTTTTTTAACCCTTTTTTTCACCCCACCTCCTCACACACAAAGGCTCTACACCACTCTTCCCTGGACTTGTTTTTTTTTCTTAAAAAGTCCCAAATACCAATAAATCTCTCTCCTCAGATGTCAAGAATACTTCTTCCAACTCATCTATTCCCATAAACATACCCTAAGCAAATAACTTTTCTCTGTTCTCATAGTGGAGTTATCCTTGTGATGCGAAATCATTAAAGACTCAGACAGTTCAGGTTGTTGTAGGTAGGATCACATTCCCTATTAGTTACCCTCCCTCCATTTCCAAGACTCATAGTTGTTTTCATAAGTATCTAGTCTGAGCCAAGCACTGGTGCCTCAGGCCTATAGCTACTCAGGAGGCTAAGATTTGAAGATTACCGTTCAATGCCAGCCTGGGCAGGGAAGTCCATGAGGGTCTTATCTCTAATTAATCACCAGAAAACTGAAAATGGATTGTGCTTCAAAGTGGTAGAGTGCTAGCCTCAAGTAAAAAAGCTCAGAGACAGCACCCAGGCCCTAAGTTCAAGGTCCTCTCACCCCACACCAACAATGACAACAACAACAAAAAAGAAGTATCCAGCCTAAGACTATATTTGCTCCTGATAGCAGGCCAAGTTCCATCATTATGTCCCACCAATGTTTGTTTTTTTTCTTGGTTGGACATGGGGCCTGAGTGCTGTCCCTCAACTCTTCAACTCAAGGCGAAAGTTCTACCACTAGAGCCACAGTACCACTTCCGGTTTTCTGGTGGTTTATTCGAAGATAAGAGTCTCACGAACTTTCCTGCCTGGACTGGCTTTGAACTGGGATCCTCAGATCTCAGCCTCCTAAGTAGCTAAGGATTCCAGGCCTGAGATAACAGCGGCCAGCGCCTGCTACCCAGTCAATTATTTTTTCCAATTTTTTAAAAAAGAAAAAGATTCTCAAGTTACAGGTTTAGAGGAGGAACCATGAACATTTAAACATATAAATATACTTACAAGGTTTTTGTTTTTTTTTTAAATGAATGTGAGCTGGGAATGTGGCTTACTGGTAGAGTGCTTGCTAAGTATGCATCTGAAACTCTGGGTTCAAGTCCTCAGTATCACAAGAAAAAGCTGGAAGTGGCGCTGTGGTTCAAGTGGTAGAGCGCTCGTCTTGAGCAAAAGAAGCTCAGGGACAGTGCCCAGGCCTAGAGTTTAAGCCCCAGGACTGGCAAATAAATAAAGGCAAAGATTTGATTTGGTATTAGTTTTTAGAAGTGGTTTTTATCAGAGATCCTACAACTTCCAGTACCCCTACCCTACTGGCCTGGAACACCTGCCTTCCAAATTAGGTCCATGCTTCCAGCGCCTCTCTGTCGTCTCCGTGACTCTGAGCAGCCAAACTGCTCAATGGACAGAAACCCTCGGCCTGTCCTTAATCACCCTCCATAAGCAAAATACGGACAGCAGAAAGAGGAATTGGAGGCTCCCAACTTTTTTGTGTGTGTGGGTCGTGGGGCCTGAACTCTGGGCCTGGGCACTGTCCCTCAGCTCTTCAGCTCAAGGCTAGCACTGTACCACTTGAGCCACAGTGCCACTTCTGGCTTTTTTCTTATGTGGTGCTGAGGAATCCAACCCAGAGCCTCATGCACGCAAGGCAAGCGCTCAACTACTGAGCCACCTTCCCAGCCCTCCCGACTTTTATTTATCCCAGCAGGAGACCAGCTCACTTGACTTCGAGCTCACCAAGCCAGACAAGAAAGACATCAAAGGACCAGGCCCAGCCCAGTTGGTCTTCACTGCCGCTTGCCCGGGGTCTACTCAAGCCTCAGCACACGTCAATTTGCCGCCAAAAACGCTGAGGGGCGGCGGTCGAACGCAGGAGGCGTGGCCAGGATCCTAAACCCCGCCCATCTCCGCCCTCCGCCAATGGCTTGCTCGGCGCGAGGGCACTCGCAGCGCCAGTCTCCTCTTCCTTCTCCGGGAGCACTGAGCGCATGCGCGAGTCGCCGAGTGAGGGGGTTCCCTGCCCCGGGTGGGGTGGGGGCGGAAGTGAAGGGCGGGGCGCGGGCTGGAATGCGCGTTGAGGTCAGAGGGCGCGCAGTGGGGGCCGGCGAGGTCCAGGGGAGGGCTCCCGGGCCGAGCTGAGGCTGGTCGCCGCGGCCCTGCTACGCCTCGGGTGTCTCATGTGTGTGACTGTCCTGGGAGACATGGAGAACTGTTTGGCGGCGGCGGTGCTGAACGGGGTGGACGGACGTTCCCTGCAGCGCTCCGCCAGGCTGGGTCTGGAAGTGCTGGAGAGGGCCAAGAGGAGGGCGGTGGACTGGCCTGCCCAGGAGCGCCCCGGACGCTTTTCCCGGGAGCCAGCCCCTGGTCCCCACTGCCTTCTCCCCGGGGAGGTGAGGACCCAGTCACCCGCCCCGCGGGGCCTGCTGGGAGCCCGAAGCCCTGGGAGGATGCTGCCCTGGGCGGGAAGTATCAGTAAACGGACACGGTACTGGTGACATTGTTGTTTGGGCAGCTGAAGAATAAAGATAGTTCTAGGTTCTGGTTTGCTTAAAGTCCAAAACAAGTTTGAGCACACCTGTGTTTTTAGACCCGGGATTAATTGTACATCTCTGTTCTCGTTGAAATCTTTTCCCAGTAAGATCTTTCGTACTAAAGGAAAAAAAAAAACCCAAAACTTTTCGAAAGTAAAAAGACTTTCTAAAATGCTGTCGTTCTCCAGTAGGGAATCCTATATCTCACCTGTGCTTTGCCATTTATTCAAATAGAGAGAAGAAAGGCAACCAACCCTTAGTTCTTCCTTCAGAACAATGGCTGAATTCATGGACTATGCCTCAAGTCAGTGTGGGGTAAGTTGCTGTGAACCAGAGTCCTGCCTCTGATGACCCGCATTTAGGGAAAATGGAAGTACTCCTGCATCCACTACCTGGCTGGCCTTCATGGGTGGATAGTAATAAGTAATTAAACCATATAGTGAATCCAAGTTAAAATTCATCCAACAAATATTTAGTGAATTACTAATCCTGCAGTCATTTTGTTGAGGACACAAGCAGTAAACAAGCCCAAAAAAGGTCTCTCTACTCATTTTTCAGTCTAGTGGAAAATAACTTATTTGATGAATTCCCTAGTTATTAGGCTTAAAAAAATACAAAAACTGAACTGTAAACAAATCTTTAGGACCGCTCTAAACCAGAAGTAAGCCTGTGTAGTCAAGCTATAGTGACACAAAAGTTGAAACAAAGATAGGAAACAAAAAGTTGAGATGAAGATCTAACATAGATCTTCTGATTTTTTTTTTTCCTTTGGCGGGTCATGGGGCTTGAATTCTGGGCCTAGGACCTGTCCCTGAGCTCTTCAGCTTAAGCCAAGTGCTCTACCACTTGAGCCACTGCACCACTTCCAGTTTTCTGGTGGTTAATTGGAGATAAGAGTCTCACAGACTTTCCTGCCTGTGCTGGCTTTGAACTGTTATCCTCAGATCTCAGCTTCCTGAGTAGCTAGGATTACAGGTGTGAGCCACCAGCACCCAGTAGATCTTCCAATGTATGTCTCAAGTTGTGATAACATAGTGTTTATATCCCAATGGGTCCATAAACTGTTGGTGTGACAGAAATGGTCATGTGAGACAGGTGCTGCTCACTGGTCAGAGATGTGTGGTTTACTTTTAGGAGCCACTTCCCAGCAATCCATCCTTGTTCTTTGCCACTTCCTGGCTGAAATATCTTTGGTACAGTTTATCTGTCTTACCTAAGGCAGAAAATCAATGAGAAGCAGAAAATGCACTTCAAGACATAATGCTTAATGATGCATTTTAGCTTTGTGTTGTAAAATCAAGATTTCTAAAGTCCCAGTATGTATAGCCTATTTCTTTGGTTTCCACTGAAAAATAAAGAGCAGCATAAAATTCTTTTTAGTACCATAAGGCATTGATAGGTGAAAAAGGGTTTTGAAGTTCCTCTTCTGAAATTTATACCCTTAAGTCATATTTAAGTACCTTGAGGGAAGGCTGATCAAGGCCAACCAACATTTGAAGGAAAACACTCCTTCAGTAGAAGGTAAGCTCCATTTGAAGTCACACCAGACTTAATATTTTGTGACACTTTTTTGGCTATAAGGATATATATATGGGAGGAGGGAAAGGGCTCTGTTTTTGTACTGCTTTTTCAGTTTCATATGCCAAGATCTCAAAAAATTCTAACCTTTTCTTTTATAAAAATCCCTATGATTCCAAGAAATGGCTTGGAGAATATTTTTTGTTTTTATTTGTTCCAAGGTGGTTGTAGAAAAATGTGTGACTTCAGCTCTACTGTAAAGTGATTAGCTTACCCACTTGTTTCATGGTTCAGTTAAAGGAATAATATTTGTCTTTGGTTTGAGGTTTAGCAAAATTGGTGTTCTTCAAGTTGGTTTTTGGTCATGCATCAATTCAAGTTGTTATGGGATGAGCCTCAGAACCCATTGGCTTTCTAAAGCGATAGAACAGAGTTCTGATAGAACTGAGTTTGCTTCCACAATTTTGAAGCAGTTTGTAAAATATATCATAAAATATGTGTCCTGAGTGTATTCTCTGGCTTCTCATTCTTCTAGTCACATGCCTTAGTCCTACAATACATTCAAAACAAACAGGCTTTGGATGCCTTCATCATTAGTCATACTCAGGGTAAATCCCAAGGTTAATTTGGGACAGGGGGGAAAGAGACAAGAAAAATATAACTGATCTTCTGATCCTTTATCCTTTAACTAGACCCCTCTTCTTCCATTCCCCTGCATGGGAACCCTGGGGAGAAGGCCAATATAGATAGCTTGTGGGTTTATATTTCCTGTCCTGCTGTATTTCTAGATCTTATGTACTTATCTGAGACCTGGACAGTAAACATAGAACTGTTCATCAGAATTTTTCAGGGGAGGAAATAAAAGGATATGTGTTCTGGACATTGGGGCAAAGGAGGACAGATTGTTTAATCTAGCAGAGAAAATGGGTCCTGCCAATCTTTAATTGGCCAGAGATCTTGCCCTACAGAGGCAGCAGGTGGCAGCAAATCCTTGCCAAATGCAGTTTTTTACAGCCTCTTCTCACAGGCTAAGGCTTGTTCTTTGATTTGAGAGGTCTGCTAAAAGGACAAGTAATTTGACTTTGTTTTCTGGCCTCCTTTCTTAACCACACTTTCTCAAGTATTAGAGGGTATTTTGAAAGTGTGACCTGAATATCTGGTTACTCCATTGTCTTTCTCATTACTTCTCTAGAAATATTATTCGTCTAAGCCAGAGGAAGGAGGGGCAACCCATGTCTTTCGTTATCATAGAGGAAAGTCGGAGTTGCACCTGTGTGCAGATGTAGATCATGGTCGGGTATGTATCTTCACTTGTCCTGTGTTGGGCCTGCAGCCTCTCAATCTTGAGATCTTGTATTTGGAACATACGTGTGTGTGTGTGCGCGCGCACGCGCGCGCGTGCGCATGCAAGTATAGGGCTTGAACTCAGGGCTTCAAGTTCTCATTTGACAGTTTCACTCACAGCTGGTGCTTTACCACTTTGGCCACACCTCTAGCTCCGAGATCCTGTATTTGGGAGCTACTGTGGGACTGTGATTAGATGCCTTATCAGTTCACCTTAGAGAACTTACAGCAATTAAGTCAAGAATAGGAATTTGTCCAAAACATGACTAACTTATTCACCTGCATCCTGAGTATGCTTAGAGAGCTTCTCATGTCTTCAACATTTTCTTGAGTTGTATGTGGTTTCGTTAGTTATTTTGTTTGGTGGTTCTGGGGTTTGAACTGAAGGCCTTGTACTAGCTAGGTAAGTGCTCTCAGTTTGAGTTATATCCCAGCCTTTCTTGTTTTTATTTTTTGGACAGAGTCTTGGTGCGTTTGCCAGGGCTAGCCTCAGACCACTATCTGTGCCACCCTGCAGCTGAGATTTCAGGTCCAAGCCACCATGCCTGACTTGTTGGTTGAAATAGACTGTTGCTAACTTTTTGGCCAGAATAGTCTTAAACCATGACACTCCCAATCTCAGCCTCTCAAGTAGCTAGAATTACAGATGTAAGACATTATACTCAATTTTTTTTTTAAATAATTTTTTAGATGTGATCTTGTATTCCTGGCCTCAAGTGATCCTCCTTCCTCAGCCTCAGGAGTAGTTGGGACTACATGTCTGACTTTAAATATTCTTTCTCTAATGGTAATGTTTCCAGATTCTTCTCACAGGCTTACCTGTTATTTACTATGTGTTATTACCAGGAAGCTAAATCTCCTGTTGAACAGGAGTCAGAGGTATTGTTTGAGGAGAATAGCTTTTGTTCTTATTTTTCTTAAACTCCCCTATTGGTACTCAAAAATAGAAAACTTCAGATTGTAAACCTTGATTTTTGGACCCTTGACTTTTCTGGCCTATTGGCCATGTTGGGATGTTAGAGCAAAGGAATTTAGGAGAAGTTAGAGAGCTGAGTGCAGGCTAGAGGCATACCCTGACCTCCTTTCTGGGATGTGAAGAGCTCCTAGAACCTGTGCCCTGGGGTCCTTTTCCAGGCCTGGCCTGAGCTCTCCATTAGGCCTGACCTCCAAGGGAACTTGTGGTGAAAGAGTCATTAGCTTTCCACAAAATGTAATTTGGTTCCCTTAAGAAAATTGGCCCTATCAGTCAGTATGTTCCTTTTTAGTTCCCCACTCCTAGAACAAGATAATTTTATTTTCTGAGAGGCTCTTAAGAGTCATTACTTTTTCACTTTAAATTGTTGCTAAGTAGCCCATGTTATAGTCTAGAAAACCAAGGCTCAAAGAAGTTAAACAATCTCTCTTCATAGGTAGCAGGAAATAGGATTTAAACTCAGGTTTGTTTAACTCCAAGGCCTATGTAAATCATGGGAGACATGACTTAAAATATGCCTCTAAATTTACTCAAAAGAGCTTTAAAAACTTAGATGATAACTTTTTTTTGGGGGGGGGGGTCCGGTCATGGGGCCTGAACTCTGGACCTGGGCGCTGTCCCTCAGCTCTTCAGCTCAAGGCTAGCGCTCTATCACTTGAGCCACAGCGCCACTTCCGGCTTTTTTTCTTTTTGCTTATGTGGTGCTGGGGAATCGAACCCAGGGCCTCATGCGTGCAAGGCAAGTGCTCTACTACTGAGCCACCTTCCCAGCCCTTAGATGATAACTTTAAAAAACAACAACAAACTTAAAGAGAGTGGGTGCCTGTAATACTGCTACTCAGGAGGCTGAGACCTGAAGGTCATGGTTCAAAGCCAGCTGTGGCAGGAAAGTCTGTAAGACTCCTATCTCTACTAAACTACAAAAAAAGCCAGAAGTGGAGCTATGACTCAAGTGATAGAGCACTAGCCTTGAGCACAAAAGCTCAGGGACAACTCCCAGGCCCGGAGTTCAGGCCCCAGGAAAAAACAAAACAAAACTTAGAGCAATTCTAACAAGTGGGAGAAAAATTCTTTGCACTCCAAAAGTCAAAGCTTGGGCCCTACCTCATCAGTGTTTCTACTTGTCTCTTGACCCTGTCTCTTAGATGAAGGACAGAGAAAAGCCATCCCTTCACGAAGAAGGCATCTATCAAACATCAGACCTTGCTTCAGAAGCATCCCATCTGGTGAGTACATTTTGTGAGTGTGCTTGGCTTTACCACCATTGTCATCCTTTGACCCAGTTGACCTGTTAATTACACAGCTCCCTGTTTCACTAGAGCTGTAGTGTTTTTATATTAAGATGTTGTTACCCTTGAGGAGAAGGGTACAAAATTTTGGTTCAGTGTAAAGTTATGTTTTCTTGGTATCCTTCCTTCACTTGAAGCTTAGGGATGCTCTTTGAGCCTGAACTCATAGTTGTGGTTGGAAAGAATGTGAAGTATTCACATTTCTGTTCCTACAGCTCAGCTGGGCTGGCACTTGGTCTTGTTAGAATTCCACCATCTGTTCAGGCAGCAGGAGGGCCTGACCCTTCTGCTTGTAAAATGCAACTATTGTGGAATTCTAAAACATATATATTTGGTGAGGTATCAGATTCCAAAACATTTGGAGGTTATTTGTTCCAATTTTCCACAAATGTTCTCTGTAAGAAAAAAAATAATAGCTATGAGTTTTTCATCTTTAGATTAAAATACTCATTAGTTCGTCAGTTCGGGGAATTTTTGGAACTTGGAAGGACTGAGGTTTTTGAGGAAAGGAACTTCAGCAATAAATTCCTTACTTTTGTTTACATACAAGGTAATAAAAAAGGTACCAGGCTTTGCTAGCTTCTAGAAAGCTTCTAGTAGCCTCTAAGTTTTGGTGATGCTAATCTTGGTGATAAACTATAGTGTTGGAATCATAGATGCGTATCCAACCCTGGTGCTGCCTTGTATGCAGACATCGTATTAATGGAGTGAGTATGCTTAGCTTTTCATTGTCTTATTCAACACAGTGACAATCAATAGTGTTATATTGTGATATATATTCATATCAGTTAAGTGTTTAATAATTTTGCAGAAGCTGGGCATGAAAGTATAAAACATAAAGCAGCTTTTGAAGAAAATGGCTTCAAATCTGGAAGACAAAGTAAAGAGGGAATTTCATCAAAGTTTCAGTGTTACCACTTACTCCTGCTCATGGAGTTTGCTGGCCAGCAGTCATTCATCCCATGTATAGTGTTAAAAGTGACAGCTTCTGCCTGTGGCCCCTTCTGAGCATTGAGCAAGTGAGTGTGTAGTGGCATTCAGCTGTCACTTTGGCTCTTACTGGCCTTTCCTGATTTATAACTTTGCCCTTTCACCATTTGAACTGAGACCCATCCTCTGCCTGTGTTCTTACTATGACCTTGGTTCCCGGCCATTATAACATGTAGCCTTAGAGAATGGTTTGTGCTCACTTCAGCTCTAAACACAAATCTTCCAGTTAGCTTCAACTTTCTCCCAAGAATTGCTTTTGTCAGCTATTACACTTTCCTCTTGTATGTTCTTAGCCTTAGGAGAAAAGTGCTTCATCTTCGTGATACTGAATTTAGCAAAACACTAATTGAGTAGTTCTTATCATTCTAAGGGACATTGCCATTATTACTATAATGTCTGCTCACAGGTTCTACTTTCTTACTTCTGATCCCCCAAACAAGGCCTTTCCCTCTCCCTATTCTTACTCCACTCCAATTAGTATTCTTTTTACAATCCCTCATATTGATAAAACACTTGAGCATTTACAAAGTGTTTTCACAGCTTTTGGTATAAGTCATCAAGCATAAAGGCTAAGATTTACTTAAATGGCAGCTGCTATTATGTAACCAACCAGAGCCTTGAAAACAGGACCCATGTCCCTCATTTGAACAGCATCTCATCACACCTCTGGCATGCATATGTCAATGCCATCATGGCATTGAGATACAAAGTATCTAAACTGTGGTGCCCTCTTTTTCCAGGCTGGGGACATCTCTAAGGACCTCTACATAGAAGTATATCCAGGAATCTATTCTGTCACTGTGGGCTCAAATGCCTTAACTAAGAAGACTCATGTGGTAGCGGTTGATTCAGGACAAAGTGTGGACTTGGTCTTCCCTGTGTGATGCTGCCATCACATCATTCTTTGTTACAAAGCAAGAAGAATAAATCCACCATACGATTCTCATTAGGACAACCTATTAGGCCCATTTTTAGTGTTGACTCTAGAGGATCAGCCTTCCTGGGACCTAGAGTCTTTCAGTGCCCATTTTAACCCCGTCCACATTTGCCTGTAAACAATAATGTGATAATGCTGTCTGAAGAGTTTTACTGCTGGCTAAGTAAAGATTAATTATGGTAATAAAAGGAGAAATTTGGAAACAATTCCTTTTTACTAGTATTAAAAAACTGTGATCCTCCTGTTTAGGCTCTATGAAAGATTGCAGAGAAGCTGTAGACACATGTGCCCAAAGCTGGCCACCACACCAGGCCACCAGCTCCTGGGCCCCTCCTGCTGCTCATCTGCTGGCTGGTCTTAATGGGGTGAAGGTGCTGTTGCCTATTGACTGTCACTTGTGACATTCCCCCACTGAAGGCCTTGTCAGCCTCTCTTTGTAATGCCTTGTCAAATACTTACCATTATTATTATTATCATCATTATTATTATTTTTGTGGCTCGTGAGGCCTGAACTGTGGGCCTGGGTGCTGTCCTTCAGCTCTTCAGCTCAAGGCTAGTGCTCTACCACTTGAGCCATAGCACCACTTCTGGCTTTTTCTGCTTATATGGTTTTGAGGAATTGAACCCAGGGCCTCATCATATAAGCCAAGCACTCTACCACTGATCCACCTTCCCAGACCCCATTATTACTATTTAATTTCTTGTAATAAAGATTATGCTGAGGGTCTCATTCTGACTGTAATCCTAAAGATCAAAAATCATTTATTTTAGCTGGGTACAGTGGCTGGCATAAACCTATAATCTCAGTTACTCTGGGACTCAGAAACAGGAGGATCATGGTTCAAGGGCTAAGCCAGGCAGTTAGTGAGATCCCAAGAAGAAAAGGGCCAGGTTGTGACTCAAGTGGTAAAACCTATCCAAAGACCTGTATTCAAGGGCTGGGAAGGTGGCTCAGTGGTAGAGTGCTTGCCTTGCATGCCTGAGGCCCTGGGTTCGATTCCTCAGCATCACATAAGCAAAAAGAAAAAAGCCGGAAGTAGTGCTGTGGCTTAAGTGGTAGAGCGCTAGCCTTGAGCTGAAGAGCTGAGGGACAGCGCCTAGGCCCAGAGTTCAGGCCCCACGACCAACCAGAAAAAAAAAAAAAAAAAGACCTGTGTTCAATTCTTGGTATTGGGGAGGGAGGTGGAAATCAAACATTTAAAAGAAGTCACTCATATGTTCTAAACTTCACTAAAGTTATTATACCAACAGTATTGTATCTCCCAGTAATTCATCTCATTTTGAATTGAGCAACTCTTTCCTCAAGAAAAACGCAGTATAGGAAGTGGCGCTGTAGCTCAAGTGGTAGAGCGCTCGCCTTGAGCTGAAGAGCTGAGGGACAGCGCCCAGGCCCAGAGTTCAGGCCCCACGGCCGACAAAAAAAAAAAAGAAAAAAATATGAAAAAAAAGAAAAACGCAGTATAATGGGCTGGGAAGGTGGCTCAGTGGTAGAGCGTATGCCTTGCATGCCTGAGGCCCTGGGTTCAATTCCTCAGCACCACATAAGCAAAAAGAAAAAAGCGGGAAGTGGCGCTGTGGCTCATGGTAGAGTGCTATCCTTGAGCTGAAGAGCTGAGGGACAGAGCCCAGGCCCAGAGTTCAGGCCCCACAACCGGACCCAAAAATAAAAAATAAAAAAAAGAAAAACGCAGTATAAGACAAAACAATGCCAGGTGCCAGTGGCTCACACCTGTAATCCTAGCTACTCAGGAGGCTGAGATCTGAGGATCATCGTTGAAAGCCAGCCCAGGCAGGAAAGTCCGTGAAACTCTTATCTCCAATAAACCACCAGAAAACCGGAAGTGGCAGAGTGCTAGCCTTGAGCTGAAGAGCTGAGGGACAGGGCTCAGGCCCAGAGTTCAAGCCCCATGACCAACCAAAAAAAAAAGACAAAACAATATTTTGTTATATATATTTTTCTATTTCTTTTTTTTTATTGTGAAAATACTGTATAGAGGGGTTACAATTACATGGGCAAGATATGTTTTGTTATATTTTAAGAGAGCATCCTGAGCAATTTTAACTGAATATTTTTACCTTCAGAACTGAATTATCACACATCCAAAACAGTGATCCAAAAGTCCAGAAGTAGTCCAATTATCAAAACCTCACCCTAAAGAAAACTCAAATTAGCTAGAATATAAACTTCACACTATTAAAGTCAATCAGATAATTAAATTTAATCCTTTAACAACTTTATACTTAAGATTTTTTAAATAATAGAGCTATATTTGCATTCTTACAAGGAACAGTCTCCCATGAACATAGGGTCTCATAAAATGGACCTGTGCTCACACCATAGGACAGAGGGTCCTTTAAATACAAATCTTTACACACATACACACAAAGTCTATGATGAACTTCATAGGCTCTGTAAGCCTTCTGAAATTGTATGCAAAAGTCTGGGTATATACAATTTTTTCTGGGAAAAAGGGTCTTACCATTCTCAAAGGGAGTGTGATCCTAGGAAGTCAAAATCCTGTTGTAGGGGTTTTAGTCCAAGGGGAATTCTTACCCTTTAATGCTTCAGCACCCTCACTCAGCTTTCTATGTTCAACTTCCTCATGGTTTTATACAGTTGCTTTCAGGACTAACTCTTGTGAAGCTCCCACTACCACAGTTTGTACTCTCCTTTTTGTGCTTCTCTTCTTTTCAGATATTATAACGTCTTGTTCCTAAACACAAAATCAGTTATGTGAGAATGCCACCAGAGTCTCAATAACAAATAACTAAATCAGTGAACACTCAATCTCTTAAGCCACCATAGTCTCAATAACAAATAACTAAATCAGTGATCACTCAATCTCTTAAGTATCTAAGAGTTCCTAGTGTTGTTCTGTGTGTGTGTGTGTGTGTGTGTGTGTGTGTGTGCGCGCGCGCACACGCTAATCCTGGGGCTTGAATTCAGGGCCTGGGATAGCTCAATGCTAGCATTTTACCACTTGAGCCACAACACCTCTGGCTTTTTTGGTGAATAATTACTGGAGATAAGAGCCTCATGGACTTTCCTCCGGCTAGCTTTCAACCATGAACCTCAGATCTCAGCCTCTTGAGTAGGTGGAATTACAGGTATGAGCCATGGGCACCCAGCTATTCTATTTTTAAAAGGAAACTTTGTATTAGTCAATTTCTCACCATTATGTTTTGTGAATAGTTATTTATCAGATACTCCAATTTGGAGTTGAGAACAAGTTTTCTCAGACATATTTCACAAATAGCCAGTCAGTAACGCAAAGGAGATCAGCTGCCATGTTTAAGGAGCTTCTCCTTCAAAAAAGGAAATAGTAGGCTAATGGGAAAATAAGTTTTAAGAAATTGTGGAAAAATCAAAATAACAGGAGATAGGACTTCTATAGAATAGGAGACCAATCTAAAAAGGAAGGACATAAACATATAGTGGTACAATGTAATCCCAACACTGAGAGGCTGAGGCAGGAGGATTATATGTTCATAGTCAGCTTGGATTACATTATGATAGTCTGTGAAAAGGAAGGAATACTTCAAATTTTGTTGTTGGTTCTAAAGTTTTGAACACGGCCGAATGCTTACTAGGAGAGATATTCTACTGCTAGTCCATACCTCCAGCGCTTGTTTTTGCTGGCTATTTTTTAAATAGAACCTTGCTTCCTACCCAGGCACATGCCTGGTCTATATATAGTCCAGCTGTCTGTCAGACTCTTATCTTCAATAAACTACTCAGAAAAAGCCAGAAATGGTGCTGTGGCTCAAGTGGTAGAGTGCTAGACTTCAGCAAAAGAAGCTCAGGGACCGCACTGAGGTCTGAGTTCAAGCCCCAGGACTGTCATAAAAAAAAAAATGAGCGGGGCCAGGTGCTGGTGGCTCACGCCTGTAATCCTAGTTACTCAGGAGGCTGAGATCTGAGGATCACGGTTCAGAGCAGGAACATCTGTGCAACTTTATCTCCAATTAACTGCCAGAAAACAGGAAATGGTGCTGGGCTAAAGTAGTAGAGTGCTAGCCTTGAGCTGAAGAGCTCAAGGTCAGGGCCCAGGCCCAGAATTCAAGCCCCACAACCAACCCCCAACCCGACACCCCCAAATGAGCTGTGCCTGCCTGAAGTGGTAGAGCACTAGCTATGAGCAAGCAAGCATGAAGTCTTGAGTTCAAGGTCCAGTACCAGCAGGGAGGGGAAAAAAAAAACAAAAAAACCTTACAAATTGAATCTGTTTTGGTCTAAGTAAGGGAGCATCGTAAGGGCTGGCAGCCCACAGTCTAGCCTTTCTGAGGTTACCAGCATCAGTGAACTTACTGAATAGAACTAGAAGTATGGAAGGCAGAGGACCCTACACAAGATTTTTGTTTCACAAAAGGCAGAACTCAAGATGGATGTGTCAAGCTTCAGTACTCGAGATAACTGAATCAAGTACTCTTTTATCAAGTACAGCTATCTAGTACTGATGAAATACCAATCATATTTAGGAGAAGCAAAACTGCACATTTCCTTAAAAGGACAAACCTGGATCAGAGAAAGGAAAAGCTCTGTTATTTACCATTGTTTCCAGCCTTGGCCCACACTTGGTTTTATCTTTGTTACTGCACCTGTGACCAGAGATGGGAATGGGCCTTTCTCCACATCCCATCTTCAGCATAATTCCCATCGTCTGGGGAACATGTCTGATAATGTCTCATGGGTCAGCCCTAGTAATTATCCTTACCCTGGAGTGTAACAAAAGATTCTTTACCTGAAGATCCTATATTATTCTTCTTTGAGGTAATTATTAAAACTTATTTTCAAAGAAGAAAACTTTGGAGTGAATTAATTTAAATATGAATTTAAATATGAGTTGTGTATGCTTAGGGCCAGGAAGAATTTGTTTGAATTTAATTGTTATTGAGCAGGTTGTAGCCATGGGAACACAGATATGGTATTGGAAGGGTGTCTAACCCTGGGTCCCCTCTGTTCCCTGATTGTGTGTCTGATGCTGTGTCAGTGGTGCCCACAGACTCCTCTCTGTTGGTCAGGTCCAGCTTCTCGTTCTCCACACTGCTATATCAAGAGGCACTGGAAGCTAGGGAGGAGGTAGCATATATCATCACCTATTAGAAGAGCAGATCTCAGGAACAGCTGCTTCCAAGGATCACCCTTGTGAGATTCAAGGGACTGATTTCACAGAAGCTCAGCACTTTCCCCTCTACCCTATATTTT